TATCTTAAATTGGAGTATGCTTTTTCTGATCCTTTGGGATCAGAAAATAGAGAGGATTTTTCTTGTAAATTATAATAAGTAATAATCCCCTAGTAACTATGATGAGCCTTAGATTTGACTGGCAGGCAGCTAGAAAGTATATAAATAATTTGAGATGATTTACTATTTGTGAAGTCAGTGGCTCCAGCACAATTAAGCCCTCCTTCCCAAACTGCAATTTTGTTCTCATTAGAAAAATGACCGATAATTATTGTTCTCTTTTACCAGGATAACATTAGACATTTTTAGACATTTTATTCAAGCAGAACCTGAAAATTTGAGAAAGAGTTTTCCTTCCTACAGAAATGGTATAGTGTAGAAAATTCAGAATAATGTGATTTGATACATTAAGATTAGCTTAATTGCAAGGCATTGTTATGTTCAGGAAAAAACCAAGTCGTTTGGTAAACTACAGAACTTACACGTGAACCCTAGAAAAGGCCTATGTTGGCACTAAAGACACTTGCGGAACTCCTGTAAATGCAAGGTGTCACAGAGGCAGCTTCTAGCCTGGAACAGATGGCACTCAGGGAGGCACAGAGCAAAAGCAAGTGGGGAAGAGGGCCAGTGATCGTTGAGCTTCTGTCTGTTGGGCATTATTTACCTATATCACCTCATTTAACCTCCCAGCTGTGAACTGGTATTAACTGCATTTCACAGATGAGAAAACAGGCTCTGCGAAGTTTAGTAACTGGCTCTGGGTCACCACAGAATTCAGTTCAAGTTCTCTCTGGCTCAGTTCCAAGGACAGTGTGGAGCATACTGGATGTGAGGTGAGCTGTAGGTGCCTTTGACAGAGTACTTAGGAGAAGAATGCTGGTAGCAAAGCAGCAGGGGAAGGAATAAAACTGATTTTGGAGCAGGTTTGTGCCAGTAGCAGTAGTATAGCCATGAAGATGTTAGAGGTTCAGCTGGTATATGGTTCAGCAGGGTTGAAATAAAGGTAACAGAGAAGAAACAAAAGCCATAAATCAATGTAAGGGACAAAAGGCTGGTTTGTTGGCAGGATTTACTTAAAAAATGGGAAAGTTGTAATTAATTTGAATGTGCTTAACAAGAAAGGAGTGATAAAAGATCTATTGTCATCCCAGTATTTATCTACTTTGAAAGTTTTCCCTTTCTCACCTTTCTTGGTATTATCTTGGTGTCCAGATGCCCTTGGAAATCACTCGTAGCTTTATCCAAAACCGAGATGGGACTTATGAGCTGTTTAAATGCCCTAAGGTGGAAGTAGAGAGCATAGCAGAAACCTATGGTCGTATGGAAAAACAACCAGTGTTACGACCCTTGGAACTAAAAACTTTTCTCAAAGTTGGTAAGTGAATTTCAACCGTGTATCTTCCTTTGAGGGTCAGCTTGTATACAGTATACTGTCCGAGGCTTTGGATCTTGACTTTAAACAAAGACACATTGATTCATGTTGTAAATGCAATCATGGAATAAAGTATTTTGTTTCACTTGAGCTAGTGCTTCCAAAATAAAATTACAGAAGTAGTATATGTTCATTGTAGAGAAATCATAAATTTCATTATAGAGCATAAAGGACAAAAAATAAAAACCACTTGTAATCCCAACCACCTCCACGGGTGACATCACCATTAATATTTTGGCATATGCCCTTTCAGATTCTTTCCTATGTATTTGAAGAGTTTCCAAAACAAGGGATCATACTTGACTGCTTTTTTTTACTTAATGATATATTATGAACTGCTTTCCTTTCTTTTTTTTTTTTTTTTTTTTTTT